GCATAGTGATATGCTTGCATATAGTTGTGGTTTATTATCAGCCATACATTTTACTTGTCTGAAGTGAATTATTTTATTGCTGTGTTCCAATTATTTTTAAGAAACTGTAAAGCAGCGGTTCTCAACCTGTGGGTCGCGACCCCATTTGGGGTTGAACGACCATTTCACCGGGGTCGCCAAACAATGTGATCCGCCATTTTTTTCTCAGCTGGCACAGGGGGCGATGCCGCGTATGCGCACTGCGCAGGTGGCACCGCCGTGCATGCGTGCCACACAGGGGGCAGTGCCGCACATGCGTGCCGTGCAGGGGGCGCCGCCACGCATGCATGCCGCGCAGGGGGCAGCGCTGCGCATGCGTGCCGTGCAGGGGATGGCGCCACGCATGCATGCCGCGCAGGGGGCGCCGCCGCGCATGCGCGCCACCTGCTTATGACCGGGGTCGCCGGTCTAAAAAGATTGAGAACCACTGCTGTAAAGGAAAAAACTGTCACGAGATGAAGCTACACATTAAAACTGTTGCACTCTACACTTCCTTATTTGTATTAAAGTTTCCAAGTAATTGCTTCATGCTACACATCTCTTCCTAACACAAGCCAAGTTTATTATAGTTTGGGGGATTTTTTAAATAAGAGAAACATGTGCTATACAAGTTCATTTATTCTGACTCTGAGAATGAATGAGGGCATAAAAAAAGCATCCAGCAGAATAATTTGTTTTGACAGGAACCTGAACTATAACTAGTATGTCAGGACTTGAGCAGCCAATAAATTGGGATATGCTCCACAGTGCATGTGTCCTTTATAAGCGCTATTTTTGGCAGTGCATTTCAGCAAATGTAGCATACATGTTGATTACAAGTAAAGCAATAAGTTAACAGCCACTATTATTTACTCTTATTCAATAGTTACTTTTATGGGTACAAGGACTAGTTGCATGAAAAAGACATTGTTCTATCTATTCATGATCCTTTCAGCTTTTCCACTCAAAGAAGAACTGGCAGCTCTCTCCCCCTCCCATTTGTTTTTTTTTCTTTTTCACTAGATCAACTGATAAAGCTGAAGGACTGAAGGATTTAATAAGTGGACAACGACTAGCCCTAGGGTTACAATCCCTTTCTCTTTTTATGCATTTTAAGATTTCTCCAAAGTCTGGTCATGCATTGATGAAAATCAACAGCAGTGATTTCCATTATTCCCCATCATTCTAAGAAAGGAAACTCATAAAAATAATCTTACAAAAATATGACTTGGTACAGTAAAAGTAGAAGACAACAAAACTCCTTCAAAATTGGGATAATAGTAGTAGTAGTAGTAGTAGTAGTAGTAGTAGTAGTAGTAGTAGTAGTAAAGTTGGAAGGGACCTTGGAGGTCATCTAGTCCAACCCCCTGCTCGGCAAGAAACCCTATACCATTTCGGACAAATGGCTATCCAGTTTCTTCTTAAAAACCTCCAGTGTTGGAGCATTCACCGCTTCTGGAGGCAGGTTGTTCCATTGGTTAATTGTTCTAACTGTCAGGAAGTTTCTCCTTAGTTCTAGGTTGCTTCTCTCCTTGCTTAAGTTTCCACCCGTTGCTTCTTGTCCTGCCTTCAGGCACCTTGGAAAATAGCTTGAGACCCTCTTCTTTGTGGCAGCCCCTGAGATATTGGAACACTGCTATCAAGTGGAAATTCATATCTTAAAAATCCTTGAAATTATTGTGCAAAATTAGTGATTTTGCTTCACTAATATCCCCACTGCCCCCAAATCTTAAGTGGAACAGAAGATGCCTTCCTCTTCTTTAGGGGAGCTGCAGAACTGCCAGGAAAACATCATCTGAACTTTTCGTCATTTACTATGCTGATCACTGTTTTCAACCAATTGGCCATAGTGAGGGCTTGTACTACAGTGAAGTCTTTCTATCACTAATATGATTCTGCCTAGCAGAACATTCAACTGTGATCTGCAAACACATCATAGCTCAAATGCCCAATGAATGCTCTCTTGCATTCTAGGCAAGCAGTATATTCTTATGGTTGGACTTAATCCAACACCGAGGAATCCATATCCCAATCTATGTTTTCCTCTCCAGATCTAAGATATGCTTTCTTTTTCTATTTTCTTGCTGTCTCTCATAATTCCTGTATATTTTACTTCATTCCTGGAAACTGTACATCTTTCTCCTTTCTTCATGTCTGCTCCAGTCTAGACAGAGCCACTGTTACTTGCTGACTCAGTTTAGTCTCTCATCTTTTCATTGTGGGGCAATTTGTGAGTTAACTTTTTGTAGCCTTCAAATGAACAAACCAACCAAAAGAAATGTACCTTGATATTTTGGTTCTGCTTTGCCTGTCCACTATCTGGCAGAAAGTTAATTTGTCCTTTTGGAATTACTATCATTTTGGGAAAATATGTTGGATTGTATCAACAACAACCTGTCAGTCAATCAGTCAGATCTTTATCATTAATCAATCCAAAAGAAAAACACTGGTAGAAAAAAAATGTCAATAAGATCTAGATAAGCTCAGAACCTGAGTAGCTCAAAATGAACCCAATTTCTCATTGAACAAGCTCAACAAACCACAGCATGAAACTTGGCCATGCAAAGGATAATAATATCTATAGCTATGTCACTGATTAAAAAAGAATCAAAATAGATCAATTTGCTCTGTTCAACAAAAAGGAGTGATAGGGATAGCTCAACAAAATGAACAATGCAACAGAATGTGAATCAGAATATTAACTTCCTCTGAGCCAAAAAGACAGAATTAGTTTCTTTCCAATATTATGAAATTTACCCTTTTGACATATCTGATAGTAAAATGTTAAAAGGTCATACAGAAAACTGTCTCAAAGTAGTTAGATGAGTAAGATATCTGGCTGTTTGGAAAAAAACTAAAAATATATCAAAATAATACCTTCATGCCAAGCTGCAACACCAGGATAAAACACATTGTCACATTGTAGAGTCAAAGCAGTATAATTCATGATGATAGCCTACAGTCTCCTATAAGTCTAAATTGGAATATGAATATCCCTCAGTGCAAGTCATCAACATGTATAGGATTTATGGTCAAAAAAGTGTGTCCACTATAGCCTTCAATCTTAAGGTAATTTCCTCTTCTGTATATGAAATAAACAATTTACTTTAAGCATATTATGAAAAAAAATAAAGCATTCTCTACAGCAGTTGTTTGCTACTTTAAAATGTACCCCAAGACTCTGGACATTGTAATAAATTCTCTTGGTATTGGTTCTGGAAGATCCTTTAGGGAATTGAAATGTTACTAGGAAAGATAAAAAAATTTAGGCAAAAATAAATAGTTAGGATACTAGAATTTTTTCTATTTCATTTTTAGCTCTCATGTTGATTTCTGTCTTTTCTTTTCCTTACTTTATATTGGTTTGTATTAGTTTTTATCTTCTAAAGTTGTGTGCATATGTTTCTTGCAGGTATGGCGATCAGATATTATGATGGATTTTCAAGGCAAAATACATGTAAGAGTATGAAAAAAGTCTGATTTAACTCAAGATCCAAGCAAAAAAACATGTGGCAAACAAAATGTGTGTTTTAAACCCATTATCACAGTTGAATGAAAGTCTTGTGTTTTTCTTTGAACAGATTTAATGCATGTTTTTATTCTTCTGCTTTACACATTGCAGATTGAATTTCTTACTGCTTTCCAGCTCTTCTGAACAAGCACTTTATAAGATCCAAGAAACAGAATATGAGCAAGTCTAGGGCACAAATTCATCTCATTTTGAGAAAACTGGCTGGGGGAACAGGAGGATATAAAAATAACAGTTACTAAGTTGAATAAATTATTTTCCCCAATCTTGCTCCTTAGGCCAAATCTGTTACTAAATGAAATGATGCCAAGAAAGCAGCATTTCCTTTTTTGCCTAAGAAAAAGAAAGAATTTCTCTCTTAGCTTGAACTGGATTTCTAGGTTTGCTACTTGGATTCTGAAACTGGAATCATCAGAGTGAAAATAAATTCTTCATAACAGTCATTTAAGTGCATTTGACAAATTACAATCCCCCCTTCAATGCCTTCTAGGACCTCCCCTTTTTCAAGAACAATGGCTTATGCTTCAATTTAATTTTGTTTCTAAGATACCTTTGTAATTTGGGGGGGGGGCTTTAGAAACAACTACAAAGTCTTCCCTGATAGAATATTGTTAAAATCTGAGGTTCCTGAAATAAACTTTATGAAAGAAAAGAACATCGCATTTGTTCATCCCCATTCATTTTTTAAAAAAAAATTTCCTCCCAGACACAAAGAGAATTCCATAAAAAAAAAAAACCTCAAAATTTCAGAACATATTTCTCTCTGATAGGAAGGACGTGAGTTACAGTTCAATATTGAAAAGGTGCTATAATTAATCTCTTTTTAACGACCTCCATCCCAAATATATGTGTTTAGAAACGACAGTCTTTAACAAATAACACTTCTGTTTCAATTTGTATCTAGGTGAGCATTTGCCAGTTATTTAGGTTGTACATAAATGGGGAAGCAAGAAGATAGGAGAAAAAATAGGAATGATGAAACCCTGGATCATCATTATAAGGGAAGAGAGTGGCCACAAGACTTTGGTCTCTTGAATACAAGGAGAAGAAATGATTTGAAACTGTTTGACAAAACCAGAAACTAAACTACATACAAGGTGCAAAAGCAACACCTTCTAAAATCAACTTTGGCAAGATCTGGAATGCCCTCCCTTCTGTCCTTTCAAAGGACATCAAGCAGCTTATCCATTCATCGGCTGCTGATAGTATAAGGTGGACTTAATTTAATCTCTCTCAAACAGATGCAAGCATTTCTTAGAAAAGAAACGAAGTCCCGCCTCCTAGGAATTAATCATCCTCTTATAAATCAGTCTGATAATGGAAAGTGCCTAGGGTAGAGCAGGAATACTCTCGCCTTCTGAAACAGGCATGGCTTACATATAAACTGTAATCAGTGAAGTCCTGGCGTGCGCGTTAAGCTTAGAACTAGAACAAGCGCGACAAGGTTAGTTACCTGCAGGAAGGGGCGACTGATGGGATTCGGGCTCAGCGAGTTGGACCGGAGGGAAGAGATGGAGGACTAAACCCAAGACGAGGGCGAGGGGTACAGCGATCCTCATCGCCATGTTCAGCATTTCGGCAAATCAGCCAGCAAAATCAGCGGCTGAGTCCTTCTCCCTTCACTTCACTCGTTCGCTGAAAGGGAATCCTTTCGAAGTGCCTCGCCTTGCTTTTCCTTTTAATACCAAGCCCGGGGGGCTGCCATCCAAACTCCCGAAATGAATGGGCTCGGGGAAAAGTTTCCACGCGGGAGAGGAAATGGGACTTGAAAATTCCACTGGTTCACTTGGAAAGAGGAGAGGCAGGAGGACCCTTCCGACAGAGTTGGTCAAATGCACGGATGGAGTGATTGCCGCTAACTTCTGGTCTCCTTAGGTCCTCGATTCGGGGCAACAGGCAAAGGGCACGCCTGAGAATCGCTAGAGCTTTTATACGCCAGGCGGGAGTGGGAGGGGAGAGGCAGCAGGGAGACCTGAGCGGAGCGAAATCGGAGCTTCTGGAGAAGGAGCTGCGAGATCCAGCTATTGGCTCGCGGCGAGGTCGGGCGGGAACGTATCTTTCTTCTTGCATCCAGCCTTTTCTCCCCCTCCCCCAACGCCCCATTTATTTTATTATTTCATTTCATTTTTGCACTTCACAGAGCCGGGACGAAGAGAACATCCAGAGGGCCCAAGTGAGCATGTGTGAAATATGCGCACATGCTCCGTAGAGACGTGAAGCCGTTGCCCAAACTCTAAATGCTGGCTTAATAGATGTCGAGCCGCTTGCTTATATCAGAGCTTTTTTTTTAATCCCGTGCAATTGGGCTCGGAAAGAAGGGATTGTTGGATTCTGACTTGGCATCCGTGGAATGGTGTAGCCTATTTTTCTGTTTTTGTTACTTTTTGGCAGCTTGGTTACCGCTTTGATATAAAAAGATACAATAAGGCAGAGTGATAGCGTTTCTCAATCTTAACAATTTTAAGATGAATGGATTTCAACTCCCAGAATTTGTTTCCTTGTCTTCTTTAGACTAGACCTGCCTAGTTCTCTCAATCATTCTTTGCACAGTTTAGCCTCCAGACCTTTTATTATTTTCCTCTTCTCTGTACTCCTTCTAATGTCTCAGCATCGTTTTTGTAATGTGATCAGAACTGGACACAATATTCCAAATGTGGTGTCTGCCAGAGGACTTGTTATGGCACAAAAGTAATACTTTACACAGCACAAATGGAAGCTGTTTAATTGCTGCCCTCATTACATTTCATGCCAGCACCTCTACTTTACTGCACTGTGGCAGGAACACTCCATCCTCTTCCCACTGTGGTGATCCAGGGTCTTTTACCCTGAGCTCCCTGACTGGTAACAGGCTGGACATTTTTGAAATAAAGTGCTAGTGGAAATGAAAGCCTGGTTAGAATTTTCTTCCCTCCAACTTCCTGACAATTGTTTTCATTTTTTTTAAATTGAATCCATAATACAAATGAAAATAAAGATGTAGGGCAAGGGTCCCTAACCCCCAGTCTGTGAACTGGCACCAGTTTACAGCTTGTCAGCAACTGGCTGTGCACAGGGAAAAAGTTTTCTCCATGGAACTGGTCCTTGGTGCCCAAAACGTTGGGGGCCACTGTTATGGGGAAATGGGGAAGAAATGGGGCAGGGGGAAAGATAAGTGTGAAATGGGGGGGGGGAAATCATTAACTTCCAACCTTTTTCAGCATAGTAGAGTAACAATAGTTAGGTACTTGTCAGCAAATCTGAAAGTCAGACTTCATTTTTTTCTGTCTTAATAACAAAGTATAGAAGTGATTTCCAAATAGAAACAAAGCTGGATAATTTGGCCATCTCTACAAGCTCCACCAGTTTTTCCATCCAGTCTTCCATTGTAGGGATTGTTATATCTTTCCATTTTTGTGCATAAAGAATTCTTGCTGCAGTCAGCATATGCAATACTAAAGTTCCAGATTATTTTCAAGTTCCTTGCCTATTAGTCCTAAAAGAAAAGTCTCTGGTTTCAATTTTATATTCATTTTAAGAATCTTCATTAAAATTTGAATTTGACCCCAATATTTTTTTAGAAATGGTGAAATAGTAGGTATTTACTTTTTTTCCCCCTTTAAAACAAAGTAAAATTGGTAAGTGTTGTGCCAATTCCCCTTTCAGCCTGAATATTAGGAAGAATAGTTTTTTTAAAAAGTAGTGTTCTCTTTATTTTTACTCATTCTCCAGTGGTCACATCAGATGGAATGTATTGTATGGAAGGGTAGAGGGAGATCAACAGAAGACATTTTTTTTAAAAAAAAAAATTGGAACCACATATCTGGAAAGGCACATCCATAACAAGGAAAGTGGGTGGTGTTTCATTTTTGGCATGGGTGGGAAGAATGAAGAAACAGGGGATTCTTTTGGACAGAACCCCAGACCATCACTGCAGCCAAAGTGGAGGAAGGAATTGCAGTCTGTAAAAGATTATTTAAAGAAATGGCTACATTCAGTTTATGCATATAGTCTGCAGAATAGCCTCTTGTCTTTCTTCCTGAAAGTTACTCCCAAAAGATTAGCATTGAAGTGGATGGTGTCATGAGAACTTTGTGGGTTTACAGGACATAGTCCAACTGACAAACACAAAAGACTTCTTGTTGCTTCCTTGTTTGTTTGTTTTCTTCCTTTATTAGCATAGCATGCAAGTTTAAGCACTTCAGTTGATTTCCAGGCTTGGAATATAACTCAGGCGGTGACATTCCTCTCCCGAGCTTCCTGATAAGCTACAGAGAAAAGCAATAAACAGGCCTGATTTATGTGAATTAAGCCAAATGTTTGAAAGTTAACTCTCCCTCCACTGGAATAGGAAAAGAAGGAAGGGAAGGAAGGAAGGAAGGAAGGAAGGAAGGAAGGAAGGAAGGAAGGAAGGAAGGAAGGAAGGAAGGAAGGGAGGGAGGGAGGGAGGAATACTTATAATTTTTTTTATGTTCATTCAGTCATGTCCAGTTCTCAGAGACTGACTGGACAAGTCCCTGAAGTTTTCTTGTCAAGGTTTTTTAGAAGTACCATTGCTTCCTTCCTAAGGCCTAAGAGAAAGTGACTGATGCAAGGTCACTCAGTTAGATTTGTACCTAAGGAAGCATTAGAACTCCTGGTTGCATTAATTAAACAACTTGTAGCAGACACAGAATGCCAGTTGGATCTAGTCATATCCTCAAACTTTATTGCTAGAAAACCCAGCAGGTACTCTGCCTCCCCTAGTGTACTTAACTAATCTTGAAGTATTGGAGGATTTACTTTGACAGAATATCAGGCCTTCCCTTCAGCTGTCCTTGAAAGCCAATACAAGAAGATTCTCTGGATACATAGAAACAAGAGAGCTTGTATATAAAAATAATAAAGGTAGGAGATAGATAGATAGATAGATAGATAGATAGATAGATAGATAGATAGATAGATAGATAGATAGATAGATAGATAGATAGGCAGGCAGGCAGGCAGGCAGGCAGGCAGGCAGGCAGGCAGGCAGGCAGGCAGGCTAAATGAGCATCTAATTTGTCTTCTTGTGGTGGTTTCTTTATTCATGTAAGAAGCGCCTTCAAACATATAACATTCAACACTGAGAAAGTAAAATAGGTATAAAATTGATCAAAGAGCATGTGTAAAAAGTATATAAAATAAATAGGATTAAAACTAAATGACATTTGACCAGTGTTGGATCACATTGATAGCATGTTCTCTCACCAAATTGAGCGCTTCCTCTGTACATGTTGAAGGACATTGTATGCACTGTAGCAGAGGGGTCCCCAACTCCTGGTCTGTGGACCAGTAGCAGGCCATAGTATGCCAGCAACCGGGCCGCCCTCTGGTCTGTGGAAAAACCTCTCTTCACGGAACCGGTCACTGGTGTCCAAAAGTTTGGGGACCTTTGCTATAGCATATGTGAGGTGGAATGTTCCTCTCCACATTAAACTCCCTTTTTACAACCCTTTAATCCTTTAACTCATGTTAGAGTTGGGCACACAGAGTATCTTCTATAGGAAAGCCTCATTTTTTCAGATTGTTCTTGGATCTTCGTACCCAGAGTTATCTGTAATTCGATAGATATAGCTGTCACCAAACTAAATTTTATGATTCCCTATATCCATTTAATGTTCCTACACCTCTTTTAGATTTTTTATATATACATTTTGTTTTATATTTTTAAAACAAATTATCAATACCTTACATTTTTATGTACATTTTTATGCTTTTTAGTTTACTGAATCCAACCCTTCTTATGTTGGTCTGTTTATTGTAATAATGTTTATTTCAACATTAAAAAAGAAAGAACTCATAGTCTCTCCGTTTCTATCCTGATGTCTTAAGCACTACATCTCTCATCTCTAACCTATAGATATAGATATAAATAGCCATATATGTTGCTATTTCTACACTCTGTATTTCTTACTTAAGAGTCAAGTAAGGGATAATTATGTTGTGTGTGTTTTTTCCTCTCGGGTATTTTTCCTGAACCATTATGATCTCTACACTCTTCCTTCAGCTTCCTATGCTAGACATCTGCAATGATTAGAGTTAGTCCTCTTGGTGGTCTTCAGAGGGTCTTTTCTAAAACCCCACAGGGGTTGATTGATTGAATCAACTTCCTGTTATGTGCTTTGCTGCTAGAGAATCCTCTAGCCAGGAACATTACAATTTGCTGACATATAAAAATAATGCCTTTTGAACTATCCCTGAATTATAGACACATATTTTACCTCATGTACAATGTCAGAGAAACTTGCTTGAGCCTTGAGTGGGGATTTTTCCCTTATATTCTTACATCAATAAATTGGATCAGTGACCAAAAAAATCAGAAAGACAATATCATCACTTTATATTCTTTCTCAGGGTAACCATTGATTAGTGAGTACTCAAATAATTTGCATGCAAAATGCCCTTGATTTAGACAGCAGTTTCTAGACAAATATATGGGAACAGCTGAACTAGAAGTAGCAATTATAACAATTATAGAAAATTATATGAAAATACCTTCAGAGGTACTGGAGAAATCAAAATCATAAACTTTTTTTCCAGGAAAATTGTACAATACTAGCTGTGATACATGTTCAAGATGGATACATACATATACATAATACAGTTTTGTTTTTCTATTACACATTTAAGTCCTCAATGCTGTAGTGCAAGTAAAAATTGATAGGTGAGGATCTACTATTGACTGTTCTTTGGAGCAATTCTAGTTTCTACACATGGTGCCAATTACAGTAAGTTTAAATACTCCATTGCTGTCAATTTTCATTTTGAGGAAGGTGTATGCTGGGATACACATAAAGTGTAAAAGATTAGTTAATCAGTTTTGCTTTGCTGGAAGAAAATTTAAAATTACCTAAGTATTTTATTCTAACAAAATCCAATATCCAAAGAAGCCAAGTTCTCCCACCCTAGATCAAAA